ATAGATATAGATATTAGTCTGTGTCTGTGTGCTTTTAAACATGTTTTTGGACCCACCTGAATAGTGCAGGAGACAATGAGCACTGCCAAAAAGAGGAACAGCTGTGACATCCCTTATTTCTGCTGTTGGTGCTGGGATGGGATACTGCAGAGCTGAGAAGAGTTTTCACTTCATAAGGGGGCTTATCTACACTGGCCACGCTGCCTGGATGACACAGAGACATACAATTCATCAAAGCTCATTGCAAACACACTCCTGTTAATGAGGCTCAGCTTGGCTGCGCAAAACAAGAGAACCAAAACAGGAAAAGGCTGGGCCTATCGTTCACACTACCAAATTTAGAGGGTATGCCGGCAAGGAAGTAAAATAAAAGGAGAAGTCTTATGTCTTTTCAACTTGTGTTCTTAACGCTCAAGAAGTGTGGAGAGGAAAGGAGTGCTTATTCATTCAAATAGAGCCATGGTCCACAAAGTTTACAGCTATACAAGACAGACCAGAACATCATCAGGCCAAAAAACCTCCAGGAAATGCTGTTTGTCCCTGCAGTGAGACAGCCGCATGTAGTCAGTGATTCTGCTGGCAGCTGTCCATCTTGTTGCTGAAGCCAGTGAGTATTTGGTTGAGTGTTTGTCAGTGTGTGCCAGAGGTCACTCACCTTCGCATCGACTGCCATAACACTCCCGAGAGATTTGACTGAAGCCGGAGAACGGAACGAAATCTGAAACGTTTCTGCAAAAAACACCTTGACCATGGAAACATTTTTGGCTAAAACGTTTCAAATTCCATTCCGTTCCAGTCTTGCAGTGGGTAGGAGGACGAGCTCGTGATGTTGTGTAAGGAATTTTTCACAAACGGAGGTAGGTATTTTTTCAAGAGATAAGAGCACAATGTGTCGTGACAGATGAGCAGTTTGCAATGTTCTTGGGTGGGAAAGCTTAATTCACGAGTTTTTCAGTCTCTGTTTTGACTGAAAATGTCATCGAGCTTCTAAAATCTGGGGTAAACAGCAGCTTGGAGGTTCCAGTCACAATCTTAATGTCCACGCTATCAGACTTGATCAAATCTACACCAACGCCTTTCTTAATGGACTGCTCAGTGTAATAACTACTGGATACAATTAGCATTAGCTGCAGTACAGCCTCACTGATTGCCATAGGCGCTGAGAGATCAGAGCTACTCTTGTCTGGCCTGACATCAGGTCGTGACTGGTCCAGCTCAAATCATAGCGCTGACTCTTGTACCTCTGACAGCATCAGACATGTTCTGATTTCAATTCTGTTTTTGTGTTCTGGTGGCTAAAAGACCCACAACAGTGACATCCCATCACAAATTCTGGCATAGGTCATTGGGAAGCAGAAACTACAGGCATATCTTCAAACCATACTGCACTTTAACCTCTGCTCTTCCAAACATCTCTACTGTAGGCATCTCAGGAAAGTTCTTACCAGACAGAGATAATGAGCGTGTGACATTTCAGCACGTGTCCCGCTGCACCGGAGAGGTTCAGACCCTGGTCTTCCTTGTGGCTAACATGTTGCGCCACGTGTGACAGTTTTCCAAGGGTTTCCCTCTTTCACAACCTATCTCTCACTTACTCTCTGACTCTTTCGCCAGCCCGCGCCACTCTGCAGCTTAGCAGCGACTGGGAGCAATGATTAACCAAACTGCAGGAGTGGGAGTGAGGGTGCGTCAAAGCAAGAGGGCTTACTACAGGAAAAAAGATTCCTAAACCTGGCTACTGACCCCTTTTCTATGTGGCGACACTAAACATTCCAGCCATTACACATGTGTGAAGTTGTGAGGTGAATTTGAAATCTGCCTCGAATACTTGGAGTATGCATGGACACCAAAATATGCTATTTCATCATCACTTCATGACTATAAGAAAATAAAAACTGCCTTTCCTAATTATCCTTTAGATGACTTCTATAACAAACTCATTGCTTCTGTTTCGGGAGTCCAGCTGCACAGTTTTCCTTAGTATTTAGTATTTATTTTTAGATATAATAACACCGAATGCCCCACAGCTGAAGACAAAACAAGACTCTCTCAATAATGAACATTCACTGCCTGTTACACTCAAAAAGCAACGCTAAATTAGAGCACTGGAGGATTTTTAAGACACAACCTGAGGACATAAGTTCACAGAACTCCCTTGCTTTATTTGTGCACATTTGTCAAGTACAATGTGTCTGCTCGGATGCCTTTAATGCAGGATGAGGGGAATCGCGTTGGCCATTCGATGG